TAAGGTGTTATTACACCACGGTTTTATAAAACCGTCTTCTTTTAAAAAACAACAACGGTTTTCACTTAGACCGTCGTTTTTTTCTGGTCGTCTTTGTCACTTTTTGTAGTAGTGAAAGCTTTAATCTATTTCAAACCTGGAGGGCTTTTTGAATGGGCAGAACTGCAACTTCTTTAATCTGAACGAGGTAGAAGTGGCTGGACTTGGGGATTACTGAGCCGAAACTGTGCCATGGTACCTGTTCTGCTTGGTTAGGGCTCTCCACAAATTTGTTAAGGTTTTCATACTGGTGAAAACTCATACTCTGCTTGTCTTGGCTTTTGTTGAACCAAATTTATAACGAGAGGAATCTCGTTTTGAATGACTTATTTCTCTAAGTCTGAACTTGAAAGTTCTGAATTATAACTGGCTTCTTTTGTGGCTTAACTGAGCTTTTGGTTGCTTCAGTTTGTTTGGGGGTTCTCAAGGATCAAGTGATCATTTTGAATTCTTGTCTTGGGTTGATTTTTTGGTTGTTTTTTTTTTTTTTTTTGTTCAATTGAGTGTCCTTGTTGTTTTCACTTTCTCCTATATTTAGGGGAAATGTTTTGGAGTACAGTTTTCTGATTAAAAATGGGTGGCAGATTTTCTCCAAAGATCTTTCATTTTTAAATGCAAAGAAAAGGGGGTTTTATCAATTCTGGCAGATACGCTCTCAGTAGTCAGTTCTCATGGCCATCACTTCCCTGCTTTTCTTAAAAGAAAACCTAATCCTTTTTCCCAATTTACCTGCCCCTTGTGAGAGTTTCAACCGTGATGCTTAGTTTGATCTTTCCAGATGAACAACTCCCTATTTTCCTACTTATCTTTTCTTTAGAAAATATAGCCTGCTTATCCCTTGGAAATGATGTTTGTCGAGTTTTTCTAAATATAGAAAAGGATTTTGATCTTTTCCTCTGTCTGTAATAGACTGGGGAAATCTTCATGTAAGAGTGCCTTCATTAATTTCCTGTCAAATTCTCTTGTGACTTTAGTTGAAATTGTTGACTTTTTCAAAATCAGGTAGTCACGTAAGCTTCCTTGAGAACAGGCTTTTTCAGGAAAATTTGCCAAATTGTTCTTGGGCTTTTTTTGAGAAATGGTAGTTTTTTGTAGACTGGGCCCAATTCAATTCTTCTTTCGTCTATGCTTAATTGTAACTACCATTTAATTTGGCGTTTTTTACAATTCTGCCATTTTCGAAAAAGTCGTGGGTTTCCAATGTGGATTGGGCTTTCTCTTTTTTGGTAATCGAATCCCAGTCCTCTGTCCCTTTCTGTTTTGTGGGCCTTCGTGGGAAGTGGGCTTGGCATGCGATTTCTTTTGGCCCAAACAATGCCCCCTTAAGTCTGAACCGTTTTAAAACGGTTTCAGACTTAATGATTGACCCATCAATGATGCGCGCCATTTCCTGCCTTTGCACTAGCGCACGTCTGCCTATTTGATTAGGCTTCGTGGGGAACTGGGTTCTAACAGCTAATTAAATCTGAAAATACTTCATTCTTTCCATCTTCCCATGATCTTCTTACTTTGGTTTATAAATTTTTGCTGAGTCCTCATTTTTGCTTTATCGAACCCTAGTTCTTCCTTGGCTTTTCACTTCTTTCGAAACCTTCTATTCTTTTGATTTTGTTCCTTCTAATTTCCCCGTGCTCATCTGATTCCGAGAAACAGAAAGAAAAAATGTCTTCCCCAAACACTCGTGCCAAGAGTTCCTCTTCTTTACACTCTTCTGCCTATCTCACCGGAGATGGGGTTGATCAACATGCGATTGAGGTTCGCAGCAGACTTTATACATATGCACGAAAGAACTTGGATGAAAACGTACTTCATTTGTTCAAAAACACTCGTCTTGGGTCCTCACTGGTTTAGCTCTGTGCCGGGAGAAATGGTGGATTTGTTCAAGGAAGATGCTGAGGCCCCTTTGTGCCTTCAAAGTTCTATGGCCCTGTCTTCTCACATCTGGGTTAGTTAGAACCTAAGTCGTTCTTATCCTTCAAGTGAAGTGAGGAACAGTGCAATGAAGTGGTCTCATTGGATCGACAGACTTCTCCCGAGGCATAGAGCTCTTTGGAAGAAGGCTGGAATCTATGACGCAATCCTTCTGTCTAAAAATTCTGTCAATAGGGATAAGAACCTGTTGGCGGCTGCCTTGTGTTTCTGGAACTCTGCCAGCAACACCTTCGACTTTCGTCTAGGCCCCATGACCCCAACTCTGCGAGATCTAGATCAGATATTTAGGTTCAGGCCCCACGGGAGGCCTGCTGATGCTGTTGGTGACTACCACAGATGAAAGAATC